CCTGTGCCCAGTACTGGCCTTGGTCCTCTGGGTGTGACCAGCAGTGGTGTCAGAACTCAAAGGCTAGCTCGAGGTTTTAAATCCATCCTAATTCCCACAGTGGCTGCATTAGTTTTAATTCCAACCTTGAGGTGTATGAAGTTTGTTTTTTTGTTTTTTTGGGTTTTTTTTTTTTGTCTAAATTTTTTTTTTTATTTATTTAAATGACATTGTCTTGACTGAGGAAAGAATGCGAATGGTAATGGAATCTGTTACACATATTAAATGGAATAGTATTCACCTCTAAAGAAAAGTAGAGCACAAAATTACAGGAAAGGGGGTGGACTTAAAGTGTATTAATTGATATTAATTGGGGTCGCACAATGTCAGAAAAAAAAAGAATATTTCTTTTTCTCTCAGGCAGATCTGGCCTATTACAAATATGTATATATGTGAACAAATATTCATGTACTCAAAGTATAACATGTAGAAGGAAGAAAATAAAACATCAGCATTAGGTGATGAGGAAGGAGTAAGCACAAGCGCGCACTTTAAATCATCAAAGTGAATAGTGAAAACTTATATAATGCTAATTAATTGTTTCTAGGTCTATCTGTCAATTTTTCAGGGTTTTTGTGGTGGGTAAACACATGAAACTCTAACTAATGGAGAAGCCTAAGATCCGTTGAGAAGCTCCAAAACTTCAGACTGGCTATTCTAACTGCAAAGAAGTTCATTAGGATGTATACATGTAGAGGAGGGGGTTCCCTTTCTCCACATTCTCACCAGTATGTGCTGTCACTTGAGTGTTTTATCTTAGCCATTCTAACAGGTGTAAAGATGGATCCTCAGAGTCCTTTTGGTTTGGATTTCCCCAATGACTAAGGACACTGAGCATTTCTTTAAATGTTTCTTCACCATTCGAGATTCCTTTGTTGAGAATTCTGTTTACCTTTGTATCCCATTTTTTTAATTGAATTATGTGCTTTGATGGTGTTTAATTTCTTGAGTTCTTTATATATTCTGGATATTAGCTTTTGTTGGATGTAGAATTGGTGAAGGTCTTTTTCCAAACTGTAGACTGCCCTTTAGTTCTATTGACAGTATCTTTTGCTTTACAGAAGCTTTTCAGTTTCATGAGGTCCCATTGATTAATTGTAGATCTTAGTGCCTGAGCTTTTGGTGTTCCGTTCAGGAAGTTGTCTCCTGTGCCAATGAATTTAAGGCTTTTAATCCACTTTCTCCTCTAGCAGATTTCATGTATCTGGTTTTATGTTGAGGTCTTTGATTAACTTGGACTTGAGTTTTGTGCAGAGTGATAAATATGGATCTATTTGCATTTTTCTACATGTAGACATCCAGTCAGACCAGCACCATTTGTTGAAGATGCTATCTTTTATCCATTGTATGGTTATGGTTCCTTTGTCAAAAATCAGATATGCATAGGTATGGGTTTATTTCCATTGATCAACCATCCTATTTCATGTCAGTACCTTGAAGTTTTTATTATGATTCCTCTGTAGTATAATTTGAAGTCAGGTATGGAGATAACTCCAGAATGCAAACTTGAACAACCACTCTGGAAACCAATCTGGTGCTTTCTCAAAAAACTGGGAATAGCCACAGCTCAAGAACCTAGCCATACCATTCCTGAGCATACACCAAAAGATGCTCTACCATGCATCAAGGACATTTGCTCAACTATGTTCATAGCAGCTTTATTTGTAATAGCCAGAAGCTGGAAACAACCTAGATGAGCCTCAGCTGAAGAATGGATAAAGAAACTGTGGTACATTTACACAGTAGAATACTACACAGCCATTGAAAACAAGGAAATCATGAAATTTGCAGGCAAATGGATGGAACTAGAAACGATCATCCTGAGTGAGGTAACACAGACCCAGAAAGACAAACATGGTACATACTCACTTATAAGTGGGTTTTAGTCATATAATATACGATAGACATACTACGATGAACAGACCCCCAGGAAGATAAGTCCAATGGGCATCTTAGTCTTCATGTGGGCCAACTAGTTAGGGGAGCCAGGGATATCTCTGACATGGACTATATTGCCTGCTTTTTGATCACTTCTCCCTAATGGGACTGCCCTACCAGGCCACAGGGGAGGAAGATGAACTCAGTCTTCATATGAATTAATGATCTGGGGTATCTGGGTAGGGGTGTTCCCCTATTCTGAGGACCAGGATTGAGGAGATGCAGGAGGGATGGTGAGACTGAGAGAAGAGGGAGGGGCCTATCACTGAGATGTAAATTAAATTAATTAATAAATAAATCAGAAGAAGGTATTTGCCTAGCATGTGCAAGGAAATACAATAACAACAACGAATGCTATGATTTTTTGTTGTTGTTGTTTTGTTTTTAAAGATGTATACACTTTGGATCTGGCTAATCTCATGTGTGATGGTTTCTATTTATGAGTTCTTTACAAAACATCATAAATAAATCATTTCACATGCTCTGTGAATGCATGTTTAAAAGCTTTTCTGTCAGAACCGTGAGGCACTAGGCAGAACATGTTAGACAGAACCTTAATAAATGGAGACATATCCTATAGTGCAAAACATTATAGAATATATTTAAAAGAATGAATTAGTAATAAAAGGAAAACCACTGCATCTCTCAGTTAAACAAATGAAAATGAAGCTGCCCTGGTTGGAGGAGCAGCTTATGTGGAAGAAACTGAGGCAGCTTCTATTATAACCACCGTGAACAATACATTTGTACCAGATCTAAAGTGCTATGTGTGATAACCAAAGATAACAACCCTTATTAAATGACAGTATTTCCATCTCTTGAATTTTCATACATTCATTAAAGGGGGGGGGAATGTGAAACATATTTTCGACAGATAGAAACATGAAAGTTTTGTTGTTTTGCTTATATCCAATGGCATTTAGAAAACTATTTTAAAACTTTTGTAAGTTAGCTGTTCAGATAATGCCCTTTCCAGAAGAGGAGTGATGGATAGAAATTAATCCACACAAAAAAAGAACCCAACTACTGTTGCCCTCTCTTCCTTTCGCCAGAATTCTGGGCAGCCTTCCTTGCTCTTTCTGGTCCCCACAGCCTAGCTTGGGGGATTCCTCTCCCATTCGGCTGTTCTGGACACTTTGCCACAGAAGCTTTTCCTCTGTCCTTTCCTGGCCCTGCCAGTGCAGATGCTGAGTAGTTCAGAGCAGGAAGAAGAACTTGTGTGACAAAGGGCTCCACTTTTGTGTTTGTCCCTGAAACTGCTGAGATGTTGCTGTCCCATTTGGGGATTCTGAATTTATTGCTTGCAGAGAAATGATGTTACTATAAATGTATGCCAGAGACTATGGAACATTTTTGCAAGGTTGTGCATTCTATTTACCTTATAGGTGAATTCTATCATGTATGTTGGCCTGAAACTCTGTTGACATGCTATTTTTATACTAAAATGAGGTCTATATTTCAGCCATCCAAAGTAGAAATAGGTTCTGCCATTTGTACTTGGATAGTGAACATATTGATTGATTTGCTGATTGATAAGATATTCAGCTATCCTGTACTCATAAGAAAGTATCAACTTTTTTTTTTTTTTTAAAGGCAGGTTGGATCTGGCCTGAGGGACTGAGAGATAGGAAAACATTTCATTTCAAAGCCACAATTTGATTTTTGTTTTAAGTGTAGCAGGAATTGGATGCAATAAAATTGATAGGGAGTCTAAGATCACATTAGGATTTGTGAAATGGAAAAAATAAAAAGCAAGTCAAAACAAAACAAAACACTTAAAACAAACAAACAGACAGACAAAAAAACAACAAACAACCCAAACATTTTATTTCTGCGGTGTGCTTGTTTTCAAAAACTACCTCTGCTAAATCTCCTGTCAGTGCTGAAACTAGAAGGCAGAAAAGCTCCTCATCCTTCAGCCAACTGCAGTGCAGCCAGAGAAACAGGCAACAAAAATAGAACACCAGGATTGCTGTGCGTGGGTGAGGCAGAAACCACATTATGAGCAAAAGCTTCCAGTATTATTTTAGAACCAATACAGCTCTGCACTTCTCTGCTCTCTCTTCCAAAAACACATACTACAGAAATAAAATGAAATGAAATGTGTGTGCATTCTCCCTCTTTGAGTTAGGATTTTTCTTCCTCCTCTTCTTCTTCTTCTTTTTTTTCTTGATTTCCTTTCTTTGGAGGTGTGATGCCACTATGTGAAGCATACTGAGGGAGGAAAGAGTTAATTGCTTTTAAGGCCCTGCAATAGAGAATTATGGTTTGAAAGATAGAGGCTGGACAGCTGGCTTTGCTGGGGTATTTTTAAATGCATTAATGCAGGCTCCAATCACTCGGCCATGCTTGACCTATTTTTGGCTCAGGCCGACCATTGTTCTATTTCTGTGCCTGTGGGCCATGCTGTTGTTGATTCATATGCAAATGGATTATCACTAGCTTTAGCCAACTTGAGCTGAAAGAGGCTGAGAAAGGGAAGAGAGAGACGCACAGACAGACAGGAGGACACCCTCTGGAGCCACTTGCAGGCTGAGGATTTCGCCCTGAAGCCCCAGCAGTCCAGGGAGCTAGACGACAGGTTTAATTGTTTTCCTTCTTTTTTTTTTAATCTCCCCCCCCCCATGGGCAGAGTTAATATTTTTTCTACTTATTCTTAAAAAGAAATAACCCTGAAGCACATTCCTGTTGCCCACCTGCTTTTAGTTTCCAGGATAACCTAAAACTCCAGTGAGCTATAGCATCTACCGTGCTCTTTCTGCTTTGCACACAGGTTGGTGATTGGGGGGAAAGTGCCCAGGTCTTTTTAAAGGGTATGCCCATCCAAGCAGAAAGGAAGTCATTGTGGAAGTTGATCCTCCTGCTTGCCGTTTCTCTCGGGGAGGAGGGGGGACCAGTCAGGGTAGCTCCTGGGTCCAGAGAGCCCCGAGCAGCAGCAATGGTGACTCTTTTATGGAGCTGAAGTAAGAGTGGCTGGAGTATGCTGCAGACAATTTACGAGACTGACTCCTGTCTTTCCTCAGATGGAGTGGCCGGAAGGGAGCAGCTTTTGGCTCAGCAAAGAATGCACAGTATGATCAGCTCAGGTATGATCTCTTTTATAGTCGGGGTGCTTGTTTTATGTTTGAGAAGGCTGAAGGGGAGGCTGGTGGGAAAATGAAGGAAAACAGCTTGCTTAAGGAATTGCTTTCTCGGCTGGTTGTTGATGTTTTCATTTTCTTGGTGCTATTGAAGTGTTTTACTTAGATACTTCCATTACCCTTTCCCTGCATATTCTGAGTGTGTTTAGGGAAGGCGGCTTCTGAATGAAATTGCAAAGAATTGCTACTGTTGCAAGGAGACACTGAGATAAGGGAAAGAAAGGTGTTTCGTCTTACTGTGCAGCCGGAGAAAGGAGACCTGTACTGATTGTAAACACATGCTCGTGGGACTTTAAGTTCATCTTGGGGCTTCAGTTTAAATTGCAGCTTCAGCCAGCCAGATGACTTTATGTTTACAGTGTGCACACACAAGCACAACTATTTATAGTCCTACCTTCTGAAGTGTGTGTCTGAGAAGTTCTCAGGTAGTTTTATTCTTTCCCTAATGTGCCTTTTTTTTTCTTAAGCTCAAAGTGAATCTGTTTTGGATGAAATAGAATTACTACCAGATGCTTATTTTAATTCCTCCCCAAACACTTGGGAAGTCTAGCATTGCCAGGCAGGTGCAGTGGCGCGCGCGCACACACACACACACACACACACACATGCATGCACATTCACACACATATACATGCACACATAGACACACACAGAGACACACACAGACACGCACACACACACACACACAGAGAAATGTATTAGAAGCAGGTGCAATGCTTTGTTGGATTCTTACAGGGACAAAGTCTAGTTCATAGTTCTCTGTACATGCTTGAGGTCTCAGAGATCTGCTGCAGGGAGGTGGGGCTTGTCCACTTCCCAGTTAATGTCTATTAAAAGTCTCCACTCTCCTGCAGTCTGACTGACACTAATTACTGCTGTTTGTTATTTGTCTCCTATAACCAGTTCCTCAAGCTTTTGTTACTCTGTTTCTGTCATCTTCTGAATGCCGTAGCCTAATTTGGTTTAAAGTTCTTTCTTGGAGCTTCCGAGTGCCCCTGTGGGTTCCATCTCAGTTATAGATAACTGCCTACATTCCCAATAAGAACGTCCTACAGAACAGCTTTCAGTTAGTAGGCTTCTGTAGGAAAGAAATTTTCTACAGGTTGGCTGGCATGCAGTCGGCTTCTGTGCCTGTACGTATTACCATCTGTGGACCCTCTTTAAAGCCGGTTCTCTTTAAAGCTCTCTTCAATGTGATGGTCTTGAGATCCTCTGTTTTCCATGTCTTCTTGTGGAACCATCATGAAGTGTCAGTTTTGTAAAATTTAATATTCAACACCAATGTCACAGAAATTATATTCATAGTGATATCTGTTTGGCAAAGGGGAACATTCTAGAATGTCAGTGTTTGTTATCATTGTGGCTGAAAGCTGACAAGGGCTCAGGCGGGGCTAGCAGGTGTGTCCGGGTGGAACTGGGCACTCAGCATCACATTTTTGAAATATCCATGAATACTAGAAACTATTTTAGCTATGTCTTCAGTGCTGTGATATCCTTTTAGTCTTTACACGTTGTTATATTTCTTTTAGAGAAGAGAAACACAGTAGAGTGTTGCAAGAAACAACAGTTAGCTGACACCGGGCTAGCCACAAGTGTCGTTAGCTAGCTTTGCTTTTTTCCCTGTGATTTTGATAACCGAACAACTTGGCTCAAGTCCGAAATGAAGCTGCTGTTTCCCTGACATTGAAAGATTGGTATGCAGCATAACAAGATCTTCAAACTGGAAGCCTTGCGATTTCTTTGCTGCCTGTCTCACCTACAGCAGTATCCAGGCACCAGCTGGTAAATGAAGAGCAGTGTTATAGTCAGTATCATTCCAGCCCAGCCAGTCAGATAGCCCAGTCTGCCTGCAGCAAACAGGGGAGATCTAAGCTCTACTTGTTTTTAAAAGTTAGGATATTAATTGCATCCCTCCGCTGATGCCTCGTGATATTTGAATTTGTTTCATAAAAATGAGCAGAGATTTCGTTCACCTAATCTTTTTTTTTTTTGTGCATTTTTTTTTTCCTGAGGCTGGATTACCGAGTACGCTTTCCAATAGATGATGCTAAGATTCCACCCTGATGTTTCTCTTTTAATTTTGAACGGGCATCCTGGAGAGCAGGGTTGCAAATCCCCTTAGCCATTATACTGTTAGTGAACTAACAGTGGTGGAGTAGGGAGGATATGGTTGGTCCTGGCGAACATTCGCCAGATTATTATTTTCCTCCTGTGGATTTACTACTAAATTGGAGACATGCTTGTCTTCATAGAATTACAGACCCTTCTTTCATCTTTCTTGGATAACCACTGACCTGTTTTGAGTCCAGAATGAGTCCGTAGTGACTGGCAGTGCTGTTTGAGGACCCCTGTGTTCATGAGCCTGCTGCCAGCTAGCTGTGAAGTTGGTTTGCTCATCTTTAAACAGTCATTGGTGATGTGCACCTGTTGGTCTCTGAGATTCTCGTGTAGGCACATCTGTAAAGTGAGTGTGCTGATATTATTACGAGTGGAGGAACACGGCTCTCCATTCTTGCTGAACATCCCAGATGAATTGGATTGTCCATGAGGAAGAATGGTTTTGTTCCACAATCCTGTTTTGTTAATTTTCTTGTAAACGTGCTCTTTCTTTAAGTATCTGCTTTAGTAAGAACAAAGATATTTTCTTCTGTGAATCATGACTGTGACAGGGTAGGGTTCTTACGTGCATGTTCTGTGAAACATCTTAATAATAATAGTAATAATAAAAGACAAAGAATCTGGTGATGGTGCTAAAACTGTGAAACTCTAATAGGTACTTAATGAAATTGGTGATGTTTTTAAAAGTTAGTTTTATCATACAGTTGTAATTAGCAATGTGTCAAGATAGCACATGTTTTCTTAGGTCTTACATGTTAAAGTCTATTATTTTGTGCAGAAATTTTTGTATGTCAGTGAATTGCAACGATTCACATAGTTGCATGTTTTTCAATAATATTGGTCAGGTTAGACATCAGGTAGGATTAGGGTGGTCCACATGTAAAACATGATGTGCTAACACCTTCGTTTAAAATAGTTGACAATATTGGATTTTGAAATCCATTAAAAGTGATATATTTTGCCAGGTCATTTCCACTTTTGTGGCTTGTGTGGACCATGTAAAAATATTGACTCAAGCCTGTCAGCGGGAGCTGGCAGAATGAAGGGTATTTTTCTGTTGCCTGGCTTGTTGCCTAACGTGTTGGACAGCAGAAATGTCCACTCAGTGTTGGACAAGTTAAAAAGGAACTGCCTCAGCTTATACCGAATTGCTGTCAGAGATAATTAAAGAAAAACCGTATTCATTATGTATTCTTATTTTTAAAGATCTAAAAACATTTAAGTCTAAATTCTGATTTTGTTTTTTATTAAGATGTGTCTTCACCTTTCCAGAATATATTGTTTCTTGGTGTGTCATACTGAGAAAAATGGACCATTCTGGATTCAGTAGTCAACTATGTCTACTTGAAATATAGAAACTAATTATGAAGCAGTCTGTGAAAGCTACTGTTGCATAAGAATTTCTTCATGTCTGACCCGTAATTGCTATTTTGCTATTTTTCTAACTCGTGTTATTTTCACCTTTAAGCCTATTGTCAGTTGCTATATTTGATGGGACTAAAATAATAAAACTGTTCATAAGTAAGTCTGTTGCGAGAAAGGGCATGATAAGTGTGTCCAATTTCTGAGAACCACACAGGTGCTGTAATCAGTAGTATGTCCGTTCAGTAAGAACAGCCCATAAAGCCCTCAGGTGTCTGAGAGAATTCTAAATTCTGGATTTGAAAAAAATATTCTAAGTGATGGTCTTGCATTTGGAGAGGAGAGGTGTGGAGACATACTGCAGACATAGTTCCTCACCCCTGACAGCTACTGAAGGGGACCCCTTAAATATATAAGCTAGCAGGCACATGCCATCGCCTGACATGGCATTCAACAGCAACTGCAAAGAAAATGGTGTGTGCTGTACTTTCAAATGAACAGCCAAGGAAAACTCCTAGAACTTTACTGGCAAACTGACAAGTTCCTAAGAATTCTGGTGTCCCCAAACACGGAGAGCAGCTGATCGAGTGACGTTCTCAGCGTCTAAGCTGTCCCTCTTCTCTCACATGACTGAAGCACAGTAGAAGAAATTATGGAAGAAGAAGCTGGTGAAATGGGGGAGAGGGCTCAAACGCAGACTCTCTTGAGAAATACAGGCATACAAGCAATGTGCTAGCTAAGCTCCACAACAGGATGTTCCTGCCTAGCTAGTCTTAGCGTTTCACCAAAAAGGAAAATTTCAAGGTTTTGGAGCAATGGTATTGTCTAAAAATTGCTTCCCAGAAAATAGCACATCTTAGCTTACCTTAAACTCTATGAAACAATACTTTAAGGTGAGAATGGCAAAGCTATAGGATGAGATGAAAAGGGAGATTTTTGTTCTAAAGGGATCACCTAAGAATGACAAAAGCATGGTAATTATAAAACGAAATTCATCATTAGAAATGGCAAAAAAAAACCTGCAAGGTTTAAAAAGGAGAGTGGGTTAATGTAATTAGAGAAAAGTTAACACAGCTGAATGACAAAGATCAACAAACAAAATAATTACTATTTTAAACCAATTAATATGTACACATATGTATGTGTGCATATATATATATATATATATATATATGTACACACACACATATACACACACATATATGGTAAAAACGTGAAGAAAGACAAATTCATTGAAACAAAAAGAAAAGTACTGCAGGTTGAATTTCTCATCTTTTGGGAAAATTTAATGCAAATTCTCCAGACAGTCATACCCTCAATGGGCTACTGAACCATAAATGCTTTTTCAGAGTTCCAGAAAGTCAATTCCAGGCTGTGAGGTCACAGGCAGGAGGAAAGAGCTCTGTGGGACTCAGGGAGGCATATCAAAGCTACCCAGTACTCACTATCAGAAGACAGAGAAGAAA